TGTCATATTGCTTCCAGTGAAAACCATGCCTAAATATTTAGGTTTATGATATACCCAATAGTTGTAAACGCTATTCTTCAGATTAAGTTAAATATCTCAAGTATTGTTTTCAACCTTTCTTTCATTCTTCAGGAAAATAGTACAATATCAGGTGTTCACTATGAATGTCAGATTTTGAACTCTTTTATACTAAAAGAATAGAGAATTTAATCGAATCGAATGTAACATGAAAAACATCGAATTTCTCATATAGTTACATAAGAGCAATTAAGACATATTTATATTCTTTGGAACAAATTACTACGCCTAGAGGCTGATCATACACCCCATTTCTAACTAGTATCACATAGTATATGTCGTATACATATGAGATGTAACTGTCGATGTATAAAGAAAAAATATCAAAAAAACTTATCTGTCCTATTACTTTTGGGCCACCCTGTACTTACAAATGTTGGTTTTATAAAAAAAATGAAATATGTAAGGACGGATAGGATGCCGCGCCCTACTTTTTTCTATTACTAATCATTAATTTTAATACTCGAAATTTTTGCCAGTTTACATAACTCTAGAGTAAAATGAACTTTTTAAGAGTTCATCGCGTGGCCCTTCGAAGGGCAACTAGCCTAAACTTTGTGAAAGGCTCAGGCAGCCATCTGCAGGTGGCTGAGGATGAGAATTTTTTTCATTGTTATAAGGACATTTGTTTGATTGAATTTTAATTTATTTCAGGAAAAGATTTTCATCAAATGAAAATTTCCAAAAAATTGCATGAATTTGAAAAAGATCCATGAAACTGTCCGTTTCATGGTGAACAATGGCATGTTTTTCACTTTCGATATCATGTCTCTGTGGAAAATTTTTCATTAAAACAATGTAAATTATATCATTTTCCCCCATTTATTTATTTCATGGGTGTTGTATGCTTGATCATATGTTGTTTTTCTATTATAATCTCATTTTTTTCCGATTATGTAAACGAGTGATGATGTATTAAAAAACATTTCAATAAATCTAGTGTTTCCTTGTATAAAAATATTTATGATGATTTATTTCTTCATTTTTTTTTAAATTTGATATTTTGTCGAAGAACTGGTCATTGTATTATCTTCATTTAAATAAATAAAGTATAGAACTGATAACTAAAATAATATATTATTATAAAGTTATAGAAATTAGTGGATGTAAAAAACCAAAAACATCAATCAGCCTGGTTTGCTCTACAGACCATTCGTTTGCATTTAACTTGCCTTACAGACCAACACGTCAGACTTGCCCGGAAAAAAGCGACCTATTCACAGCTCTGGTAGAAATACATAACTCGAAAATCATCGATGAAAATATTCAAAAATAAATGAAAAAGTAACGGATAAGCAAGTATTGTATAACAAATATAGGAAGACATCTATATACAATAATTCAGTTAAAGGAAAATAATTTGATGAGAGAAATCATTATTTTTACCAAATATGATAACATCTATAGGATGTTAGAATTGAAATTCGATGATAGATTAAGCGATGATCTATTGATATGCTTCGATAGGAACGTCGATTGGTATCATCTTCAATTTGACAAGATTTTCTTTTAAACACTACTTCACTTTGCCGAAACGAAAAGAGTTGCTACATTTGGAGATCCCTTTATGTTGTTGATGACAACATTTCTGAGTGAGAGAATACACACCAATTATCAGCCAGTTGATAATAATCACATATAAAACCAAACTAACAACAAGTAAAACAATTGCTGGTGCAATCGAATATGATCTCTAGAATAAAATCCTCACTTTTCGTTGAAATTTGCTACATTAGTGCTCAAGATGAGTCATAAACCTAGCAGCTACCTTTATTTTCCTGATAACTTAGGTATGCTTCAATAGATTGAGATGCAGTGTTGGACAAAATGCAACTTTTACATGATAGTGGGTGTTCCATAAGTAATGACTCCCCTTTTTGTTTTCTTTCTATGTTTGCCGTACTCAGCTGTAAATAGATATTCAATATAGGATTCTTAAAGAGTATTATCTAAGCTATCAATAAAAAAAAAATTGTATGAAATTCTCATGAACATTAAGAGAGAACTACATCGAGAAAAATTTTGTCAAATGCATTTTTTAGTTTATCTCTACAAAGAATAACCTTAGCAGTATTTTGTGAATATCTATCTTATTTTTGTGATGGTTTAACTTACATTATTTTTTAAAAGATAGCCTGTGAAATATTCTACAAAATCCAGTAATAGTTATATCTTTAAAATGATAGTTCAGAATGACATGAAACATATTTCTTCTGGAAATGAGAAAGAATTAGTTTTGCGAAAAATGTCTCTGTAAACGTAAGTCTTTTTGGAGGATGGCACTGATGATCAGATATAGTTTTCTAGTTATTGTTTTCAAGAGATATATTTTATTGGATTTTGTAGAGTATTTCACAATCTGTCTTTTAAAAAACAATTTAACTCAAACCATCATAAAATACTGTCAGGGCTGTCGCGAGCGGGGGGGTCTCCTCCACCCAATCTTGAGAAATCTTCGTTTTTTCCCAGCAAAGTTGCAGCATTTTATTCGTTTTTTTGCTCACCAATTCTCAAAAAGTCGCTCTTCCCCCCCCCCCAATCCGATGAATTTTAGCAAAAATTTTTCGGTCGACATCCCGAGTCATCGACCTCCCCCCCAATCTTGAGGGCCTCGCGACACCCCTGGGTATATGTGTGTTGACTGCCATATGCCTCTATGTATGATTGATTACTTTAAAGACTATCATACAAAAATAAACTACTAACGCTTCTTTGACATAGAAATATGATTTCTTTCAAAAAATAAATAAAAACCATATTTAAACATTTCCTATAAAACTTTGGATTGTAGCAAAAAAAGCCGGGAGGCAAAGGGTTAATTACCAATTTGTTTCATTTTCATAAACACAGTTCATTAAGCGATAACTAGCCTTTAAGATTTTCTTTTGCAATATCAACAATGCCATTACAAGAGATAAATCCTTCTCATCATCATATTAATGATTTTGCGCATGAAAAATTTTATAAACTTGCTGAAAAACATATTGAACTATTAAATCCAAAATTTCTTAATAAAGCTGTTATCACTCGTGATCGAAGAGAAAAAATAGTCAATGTACTTCAGAACAAGTTATCTACTGAAAAGGTTTCCGGACGTTTTCTTCGCTGGTGCAAACAAGCGTTCACGCTTCGTCTTATTGCTGATCATTCATTTTTATGCGATTTTAAAGAAGTTAAACCTATTCTTTTATACAAAGACATATACGATTATTTATCAGGCAAGCCGCAACATGTCGTAGAAAACTTCCTTTCATTTAGACAGTCACGCATCTCACCCGGTTCTTCTTCAGAATACACACACCCTATGCACACATTGGCTGGCACGACAACGAGCGCGGGTGAAGAGGAGTGCGTATTCTGAAGAAGTACATATCAACTCATTTTCATTGTTTGCTCGAGAAATACTCGATTCTGTTAGGCAATTACGTCAGGTGAACCCATTTTGACCCCTTGCTTGAGAGGATGTGGGTGAGGGTGTGAGTGTGGGTGGGTGTGTAGCATTTCACTCTACTGATACCCAAGCCTACACCCCCACTCATCCATCCACATCCGCACCCCTGAATAACAATGCTCTTTTCTCTGTTGGATTATGAAAAACAACATTTCTTCATCCATAACGATTAAAATACTCAAATCTAATGAATTTAGATTTGAATTCAAATGATTTGATTCCCTTTGAAACCGTTTATTTATCGATACAGTTCATTTGATAAATCTGCATTTTCTCGTCAAATGTGGACGTCTTTTTATTGTGTACTCAAAAAGTGAGTACACTCTAGAATCGGTCAGTGTGTCCGGCCGTTAACACGATAACTTTTGAAAGGAGAGTCCGATCGCGATGAAATTTTCTACACAGTTTAGTCTTAACAATATCTCGGTCGAGAGAAGAAGATGAGAATGATTGGCCGAACCATTGCTGAGTTATAGCAAAAATAGTCATTTTTCCCTATGAGAAGATAGACCCTTCTCAACATTCATAAAAAACTTTTCCTATCATAGTTATATAAAACTCCAACTATTATATACCATTCGATAGAGAATTTCACGAGCTACAAAATGGTATATAAAACATAAAGAAACAAGAAAGCTAACTCGCCTATTGCAAAGATAATTAATCGGAATTTGGTTCTATTTTTGTCCGCGCTCTATGTGATCCACAATTAGAGCTCTATCTTCCCATCACAGCGATGATAGTTCGAGGTTTTCTAGAATGGAGAACTGGAATCTATGTTCCATTCGCCTCGAAATCTCATTGGTTGAGCAGTGACCAATAGAAATCAAGTTATAGGAAAAACGACTTTCTTAGGGTAAATCAAGGTGAAGAGTTCAAATCTGAGCTGTATTTACCTCCAAATCGTATTGGCTGAGCAATAGCCAATAGAAATTAAGTGTTTACAGAAAGGGTTTGCCAGGACAATTTTGATGTTCACACATTCTATGGTGACTCATCTGTCTCATTCACTTTTTCCTGTACCAATATTGACCTATTTCGAGGAGGGGAGGGGGCGTGTTTAAGTACCTTTACGTCTTTAAGTCCTATATTAGGGGGGTATCGTTATGTCCTCAAGTCCTGTATTATAGGGGTGCCTTTAGGTCCTCAAGTCCTATACTATAAGGGTACCCTTAGGTCCTCAAGTCCTATATTAAGGAGGCATCGTTACGTCCTCCAGTCCTATATTATAAGGGTATCCTTAAGTCCTCAAGTCCTATATTATAGGGGTATCTTTAGGTCCTCAAGTTCTATACTATAAGGGTACCCTGAGGTCCTCAAGTCCTATATTATACGGATACCCTTTGGTCCTCAAGTCCTATATTAGGGTACCTTTAGGTCCTTAAGTCCTATATTATATGGGTACCCTTATGTCCGCAAGTCCTATATTGTGAGGGTGCTCTTAGGTCCTCGAGTCCTATATTATGAGGACTCAATTATCTTCACTTTTTTTCCATAGAACCTATATAATTATTTTTCGGAATTGACAGAATTTGTCTGGAACTACAAAATGAGGACAATCAAAAGGGTAAGTATGCTGCGTTTCAGATTTCCTCAATGTTATTCTTCCCAAAACTATGACAAACTCATGTGTACTGACATTGCCGGTCGATTCTTTTAGACAGTTTGATCAAGATCAATCTGTCAACAATTATGTTTAATTTTTTATTAAGCTGTCCAAAAAAATTCATCCTTGAGCGCACTAAGGAACTGCCCCTTAGGCCCTGCGGATGCCCTCTTTTTGTCCCATAGGACACGGCGAGGAGTTAGTTCCGGAAGCTTTATTCATTCGCATAAATGAAAACTTCTTTGTTCTAGTTGAACTATATTTCTTTTTAATAAACTCATATTAATTATGTCAAAGTGCGGTACGAATTGTTGGGGATCATCTTCAAACGGTAAAAGAGCATCATAATGAGTACCGTTGTAGTAAATACAAAATGCTAGCTTATTCATATCGGATTTGTATCCTATATATTTTAGATGACCGCCTGCCGTTCCTTTACTAAATCGATCGACTAGTTCCTGTAAACTAATATTCGATGAAATATAATGTCTATTTTTTGGATCGCCGTTAAACTGAATATATGAATAGATAGGATGAGATAGAGCCATAGAAAGCGCCTGAATTTGAACTTCTCCACCCCATATTGTATCCATGGCAGTTCTTTTCAACTGTTCCTCAAATGAATACTGCAATACTTTACAAAGTGTTTGGAAATAATCGCTATTATTGATCATTGAATTGATTGCCAACAATCTCATCGAATGTGTTAGTTTTTCAGATCCAATATTTATTATCGAAAGAGAACTATATAAACAATTGCCATCTGCAGTCGTGCAAGTTCTAGCATAAACAGAATCGAACGCTTGAACAGAATATCCTGTTTTCGATTTTAACCGGACGGATTGGTCTTTATTATGCACAGTTATAAATGGTGATTTTTCAATTAAGTCATTGATTATTTGTGCTTGACTTGAAATTTGATCAGTGTCTGTAGTATTATTAAAATCAAGTACAAGAAGAAAGTGGTCAAGAATCTTTCTTGAGGTTGAATCAATGATTTCATAATTTTCGAAAGAAGATTGTTCATCGATTTCCATCATATCAGATTGATCACTGGCGTGAAGGTCTTCAAGATTATAAGTCGTATCTATATCGATTTGTTCGTTTTCATCAACTATTTCATAACGACCGAAAGAGAATTCTTCGTCAACTACCATCATATCAGACTGATCATAAATTTTAAGATCTTCCAGATTAAAAGGTATATCTGTACGAATTTGTTTAATTTCATCAACATGAACTTCAGTCAAAATTCCATATTTTCTTATCCATATTGGTTTATGGAAACTTGTGAGGCTTTCAAAATAATCAGATTTTAAGTCATTCATATTAGTGAAGCAATAGTCAATCTGTGTTTTAGCATTAGTTGAACTTTTATTTAATTTATTAATCAGAGTCAACCCGAATGAGTCCATATATTCAATGAATTTGTGGTTGGTTTTTATCTTCAAATTTATATTGAAATCACCAACAACAATTATATCTTCACAGAATCTTTTTGAAATAGATATAACTTCATTAATATGTCGTTGTAAGACATCAAATGATGAATTTGGTGAATTGTAAACGGAAATAATACAAATATCATCAATTTTTATTGAGCAATACTCAATATGGTCTTTCCCTGAATATTCACATCTTTCGGTGATATTTTCATACTTCAAATCATTTTTTAAGTAAGTGATTTGACCGAATGGTTTTCGTGTATCATTACAATCACGTCTGTGAATTACTTTAAAACCTTCAATTTCCAAAGAATCAGTAGGTTTTGTCCAAGTTTCAACAAGACTTATCATAGATGCACACAAAAATGTTTTGTCAGATCTGATATCCAAAATATGTTTATTCAATGATTGTACATTATGAAACATCACGAAAAATCTTTCACCTTGAGATTCTTCAGGAAATTCAAGTGAAAATTTCAGCATTCGTTCGGATCTCATGCTTTTGAACATCGTCGCCACTGCATCATTACGTTCAGGTGGTTTTGGTGGAACGAAGTCGCCAATTAAATATAAACCACTTGATTTTGTTGCACGACTACAAGAGACATATAATTCAGATCGTGTCATTCCTTTCTTTAGATTAACAACGACTTTTTCATAAGTGCCACCTTGACTTTTATATATCGTCATTGCTTCACAAGGAACTACAGGAAACTGTTTACGTTCTACTTTGAAATTTGTTGACCTTGTATTTATTTGCCGTGTTACTGGTTCAATTGGTGTGAGACTGGGATCAATATTTCTATTTCGCATTACATTGTGAAAGTTGGCTCTAGCTTTTCTTCCAGTTTCCTCCTCATTAAATTTAATCCATAGCCGACATGGTACTGTCTCGTTTGTCTTTTGAAGCTTTCCATAATCAATCATTATCAATTTTCCACAGGCGCCATTTACTAATCCATCTTCAGTGTCAATATTCACTGTCATCATATACTTCGCACCCACTTTCAAATCAATTTTAAGTGGTAAACCGTAAGTTTCAGTTGTTTTCAGATTCTTTACGTTGTTTAAAACTTTTTCTCTTATTGATGCAAGTCCATCACCAATACAAAAATCATAAGCATTAGCGATTGCACCTTCGGTATTAAGACTGGCCAATACTTTTGTATTATATGCATCAACTTCAGCATTACTTCTAAATACTCTTATTGCATCTTCCATGATTTCCAAATTTTCATTTGAAACAATTCGTGATTTTAATAAATTAATATCTTCAAGTGTCATCATTCCTTTTGCTAAATTACTTAATGCAATGGCAAAAGCCTTATCATCTTTTTGTCTCATTA